GCCATTCTAAGGTAAAAACCCAGCGCATACAGTGTTCATGTTTTGTTTTGTTTTTTACATTCATACGGCTTCCCGCGCCCCCCCTGCAATGACACGGCGCCCCCCCTAGGGGGCGCGCCCTACAGTTTGGGAACCTCTGCGCTAATCTATTCTCGGGTGCAGGAAAACCCCTTCACCCACATTATCTCAAAATCTGATAGGTCAAAATAAAAACAAAAGTATTTGGTGTATTTAACCCTTGTGAGTGCAAAGACTGAGGCAAACATGGAGGACTGTGGCAAATGATGCAAGTTTTACGGGTCTGAGGTCAGTTGAACCCCATTTGTAAACACAAGGGTTAAACTTATAATGTTTATCTTCTGTTTTTTTCCACATGTTGTATTTGATGATGACCAAGCTCTTTGTTCCGGCTGTGACTGTTGTGCTTCTGGCACAGAGTGCATCACCACCAATGGAGTTGTTCAATGCATTGACCCCTGTGCCACCTACACTGTGGTGAACGATGCCTGGCGTTCAACAGAGAATACAGACACAACAATCATACACTGTGACCGAAACATTGCCTGGAGTGGATGGTATCGCTTTTATTTGGGTCAGAGCAGCGCTCAGATACCAGAGAAATGTGTAGCAGAAAACCGATGTGGAACTCATGCTACTTTGTGGATAAACGGGACTCATCCAGTCCAGCTTAATGAAATCGTAACTCGCAACGTATTTGGCGCCTGGTCGGGTTCCTGCTTCCATTTTGCCTCCAGCACCATTCAGATCAAAGTTTGTTCTGGTTTCTACGTCTACAAAGTTCAACTGCCATCTTCCTGCACTCTGGGATATTGTGCAGGTAATGTTTTATGGTAATAATAATTAACTAAAAAAGGATCTGTTTTCCTTTTACAACCAGACAATTTCAATGTGCACACATACACAAAGCCTAATCATTAGATTTTTTTTAAATTTCAGTTATTTTCTTGACCGAACCAAATGTGTAGCATACTTTTTGTGTTTGGTAAAATAGAAATAAATATTTATATTGTAATTCATGTTGTGTTTATCTGCGTTAGAAATTCCGCCCTTCGTAGTTCTGGCACAAAGTGAGACCAGCATCACTCTGCAGTGGAGCGCGATCACCACCAGCTTTGTTCTCCAGTATGACGGCACAGAGACAAACATCAATGCCCCAGATGGAGCTGCAACAGTGACGTACACAGTCTCATCTCTCACTGCTGGGACCATTTACACATTCACTCTCTACACTNGGTGTCCGCCCCCCTCTGCTGCTGCTGCATCGTTGTGGAAAACATGGAGCAGCAGAGATATCTGCGGCTTATAGTCCGGTGCGGGAAAATACAATAAGATGGCTAATTCTACCTGTTTACTTTTGAAAACCAACAGAGCACTGAAAAATACTTTGAGGCTTACCTTTGTTCTACCTAAAGAATGCCTGTTCACACTTCTTTGATCCATGTAACTCCATTTGTCAAAAATGTGCATATTTCTCTAGACTGAAGTACATCTTGATATGTTGAGGATTTTGAAATGTTTTGTAAGGAGTCGCAAGTATTTGAAGGCACATATTTAAATTCTAAATTATAGCATGAAAAAATAATGATTTAGGGATGTACTAAGACAGAATCACCACGTTGCTAATAATTTTTTAGCCAGCCCACAACAGAGGATTTTAGCTAATCTTGTCCAACAAAGCTAAATTATGCTCAAAGGTTGGAGATGAAAATATCAAACTTATGAATAACAGGAGAGAAAACACAGCAGATGAATCAGACTAAATTCCAGCATTTCCCTCAATACTATTAATGACAGAGCAGCTACTTTCATTAATAATGTAGGACAGACAATGTTATGCATTTTACCTTTTGTACATATGTCACAATTTGGTTTAATAATGAAGCTCTAAACACATTTTGCATCGTTTATAACTTTTTGCTTAACTCATTTTCACTTGCTAGTGGTGACTGTGATTGTGATTTAGGAAATTGGAATCCAAACTAAATATTGTTTTATGTTTCTTCTTCTGCTTCTAGAGCATATCCGGTTAGCTGGTGCTGAATCAACACAATGTTCTGGAAGAGTTGAAGTCTACCACAACAATGTCTGGGGAACGGTCTGTGATGATGGATGGAGCTTAACAGATGCTCATGTGGTCTGTAGACAGATGGGCTGTGGACCAGCACTGACCGCTACCAGTCGTGCCACCTTCGGTGAAGGAACAGGACAAATCTGGCTTGATGACGTGTCGTGTTTCGGAAATGAAGTTTCACTTACGGACTGTCAGCATCCAGGATTTGGGACCCATAACTGTGGACATGGGGAGGATGCTGGTGTCATCTGTTCAGGTGAAGCTGATATTTATTTCTTTAAAAAATGTCTATTGAATATATTTATCATTTAATGGCTTAATTGCTTTGTGAACCATTAAGAGTTGTTTGAATCATCTAAAACAGAAGTCCCAAAAATGTAAACCACTTTCTGCATCCAGGTTCACATTACATTTTGTTCAGATAATTATGTACTATGACTTTTTAGTTGTTACAGCATTTCTTTAACCACTGTGTTAGCATCTAGTTATGATCGACATCATAACTGGATTGCTTCGAATCTAAGGACTGGGAGATTTTCTCACTTTTATTTTATTTTTACCTTACTACTCTTCACCTCCAAGTTGAACCAGGGCAAAATGCCTCCGTTCGACCCAAAGGACATTAGCAGTATTCTACAACGATTTCAGTTTTTAGAAATTAAGATTTAACGGCTGGCCTGGAGGTGAACTTTGAGATCAACGCTACCTGTGGAAATGAAACAACTCTTCCTCAAGTCAGCGGAGAGGTCGCACGCCCCGCACCAAGCGGCTCACCCTGGAGTGTTCAGGGCGCCAAGCCAAAACAAAAGTCTCACTGCAGATCCCATGAGACGACTAACAAGAAGAACCCCTCACCTGGACGAATCAGCGTGGCCGGCTCTGAGCTGAAACCCACCTTCGACGTCAACTCCTGCTCCGCCAAAGAATAGCAAACAAGCAGCTATAACCAAAACATCTCTACCGACCCCGCTCCCAAGAACATAGCGACCAGCCCGAGCCTCAAAACACTCCGACTTCGGTACATGGTGGTGGCCCCACATGGGTTTGCCCATTTAGGGACCATGTAGGGCCCACGTAGGCTGTGGCCCTACATGGGCAAACCCATGTGGGGCCACCGTGGAACTCGCGGACAAACCCATATGGGACCCATATGTCAGCCCTCCTTCCCCCCATATGGTGCCCACCTAGGCATGCTGGCAGGGTTTCACCCCTGATTGTAATATCAGATATTTACACAGAAAGATCTTGTTTTTTTACTTTTCATTTAATCCATATGGCAACATAAATACTCTAAATGCTTTTTTACAAATGTACAGCTACCTTTAATTAAATATATGTAAGGATCAGTAACACAAATTACGTTGCTTATGCTTTTTTACCAAACAGTGCACAAAAAACATTCCTATATATCCTCTTGTGGGATCTCATCACTCACTTCTTTGTTGTTGTTAGCAGTCCGCATGAGAGACAGGTCAAAGGTCAGAGGTACTTCATCCCATTTATGATATTATGAGCCCGATGGAAGTCTCTGCTATATTTGTTTGAATGAATGTGCTTTTTAGTCATTGCACAATATCATTGGACCTCTTTGAGCTACTCATCAATTTGATTGGTCTGTTGTTACTGGGAAATGTTTTTGGTGGGATGAAAAAAAACCAGCGCTCGGATGCCAGAGAAATGTGTAGCAGAAAACCGATGTGGAGCCGATGTTCCCTTATGGATAACCGAACCTCATCCAGTCCAGCTTAATGAAATCGTAAATCGCACTGTGTGTAACGCTTGGTCGGGTTCCTGCTGCTATTTTGCCTCACACACCATCCAGATCAAAGTTTGTTCTGGTTACTACGTCTACAAACTTTGAAAGCCAACAAGATGCAATCTGGCATATTGTGCAGGTAAAGTTTTATGGTAATAATTTATAAAGAATTAAGTATGGTCACACACATACGTGAACCCTAATCAACTCATCGTTACATTTTTAGACATTTTAATTACTTTATGTTTATGTTTGGTAAAAGAAAAATGATTTATATTGTAATTCATGTTGTGTTTATCTGCGTTAGAAATTCCACTCTTCATAGTTCTAACACAAAGTGAGACCAGCATCACTCTGCAGTGGAGCGCAATCACCACCAGCTTTGTTCTCCAGTATGACGGCACAGAGACAAACATCAATGCCCCAGATGGAGCTGCAACAGTGACGTACACAGTCTCATCTCTCACTGCTGGGACCATTTACACATTCACTCTCTACACTGTGATTGGAAATGGGAGAAACAGTGGACAGCAACTGACAGCTGTCACAGGTAAGATATTCCACTGACAGTCAGCTTTGGTGGCTTGGACCACTATATTTTAATCATTTGGGAGAAAACCCTGGGAAAGACTCATAGGTGTCTAAGAGAACAATATAACTATAACTATAGAACTATATCTCCCTTCTCTGGCTGAGAACATAAAACATCCTGTTATAGTTTTGTAAGATGAAAAATGTGATGGAAAGATCAATAATGTGTTTATAACATAGATGGCAAAAAGCAATCATATATTCCCTTCGCTCTACATAATTGTTTGATTGACCTGGACATGTTTTTTTTTTTTTTTTTTGTCTGAACTACAGTTGAGATACCGGCATCTTATAGATGTACAAGAAAACCCAACTGCAAAAATCAAAACTGTACCATTTCTGAACGTCTCCTCTTTCTATATCAGCTCCTCAAAATACAGGAGGATTTACAAAGTCAGCACAAGATGAGAGCAGCATCACCCTGCAGTGGAATAAAATCAACATCAGCACCAGCTTTGTTCTCCAGTATGACGGCATAGAGACGAACATCAATGCACCAGATGGAGATGGACCAGTGATCCACACAGTTTCATCTCTCACTGCTGGAACCAAATACACATTCACTCTCTTCTCTGTGTTTGAGAGCATCAGAAGCAGTGGAGTACAACTTACTGCTGTCACAAGTAAGATGTTTCAGACACTGGAGAATCACTGCCTCTCTGCATCAAAAGCAGTCGGCTTTGGTGGATTGGACCACTATGTTTGGATCACTTAGATGAGATACAAATGGGATAAAACCCTGGGAAAGACTTATAGATATCTACCTGTAAAAGGTGCGCTCTGTAGCAGTTTTAGAAAGAAAATAAATTCTGTGCTTGTACATTGTAATATCAGATATTTACACAGAAAGATATTATGAGGATTTTTTTTTAACTTTTAATTTAATCCATATGGTAACATAAATACTCTAAATGCTTTTTTACAAACATACAGCTACCTTTAAATATATGTAAGGATCAGTAACACAAATTATGTTGCTTATGCTTTTTTACCAAACAGTGCACGAAAAACATTCCTATATATCCTTTTGTAGGATCTCGTCTCTCACTTCTTTGTTGTTATTAACAGTCCGCGTGAGAGACAGGTCAAAGGTCAGAGGTACTTCATCCCATTTATGATATTATGAGCCCGATGGAAGTCTCTGCTATATTTGTTTGAGTGAATGTGCTTGTTAGTTATTGCACAATATCATTGGACCTTGTGAGCTACTCATCAATTTGATTGGTCTGTTGTTACTGGGAAATGTTTTTGGTGGGATGAAAGAAAACAAAAAGAAAACCATCTTTCTGTAGGCTGCAGTGGGGAAAAAATGAGGGGCAAAAGTAGCGGCACAATTTACAGTAAAAGAATTATGTAGATGGCTGAGATGATGGAAAGATCAGTAATGTGTTTACAACATAGATGGCAAAAAGCAATCATATATTCCCTCTGCTCTACATAATTGTTTGATTGACCAGGACATGATTTTTGTCTGAGCTACAATTAAGACATGGGTAATTCATAGATACACAAGAAAACCCAATTGCAAAAATCAAAACTGTACCATTTCTGAACATCTCCTCTTTCTATATCAGCTCCTCAAAATGCAGAAGGATTTACAAATTCAGGACAAAATGAGTCCAGCATCACCCTGCAGTGGAATAAAATCAACAACAACGGCTTTGTTCTCCAGTATGACGGCATAGAGACAAACATCAGTTCACCAGATGGGGATGGACCAGTGATCCACACAGTCTCATCTCTCACTGCTGGAACCAAATACACATTCACTCTCTTCTCTGTATTTGAGGGCATCAGAAGCAGTGGAGTACAACTTACTGCTGTCACAGGTAAGATGTTTCAGAGACTGGAGAATCACTGCCTCTCTGCACCAAAACCAGTCGGCTTTGGTGAGTCATTTGGATGAACATTTCTGAACATCTAATTTCTCTATTTCAGCTCCTCAAAATGCAGAAGGATTTCAAAAATCAGGACAATACAAGAGCAGCATCACCCTGCAGTGGAATAAAATCAACAACAACACCAGCTTTGTTCTCCAGTGTGACGGCACAGAGACAAACATCAGTTCACCAGATGGAGACGGACCAGTAACTCACACAGTTTCATCTCTGATACCTGGAACCAAATACACTTTCACTCTCTTCTCTGTGTTTGAGAGCATCAGAAGCAGTGGAGTACAGCTTGTAGGTTTCCTTGGTGAGATTATTTATTTATTTATAATGTATAAATGGATAGAAACTGAACATTGCTGATCGCACTTTTACAAGTCAGCTGCACAAGATAGGCAGATTTTCACAGGAAGTGCTTTTCACAAAAAACTTCTAAAGAAATAACTGCCACAAATTAAAGAAAGTAATTGCATTAATATTTCATTAAACATGTTAGTTAAAATCTTCTTGACCCCAGAAATGTTTGATGTTAATTTATCCAATATATTCTTGTTTTTATGTTGACAACCATCATTGTGCTGGAATCTGCTTGACCTTCAACTAAAGAACCAAGTAAGTAAATCCATTTGTAAGATGCTTGTAATTATTTTTTCCCTTTAATAAATTAGCCTATTCACCAAATTTGATTTAAGTTTTTAAGGTTTATAATCAACTGTCAATGCCAGCAATCAGTGAGATTTCTCCAAGTAAAGCTATGCAAAAAGCTTCAATTAGCTCAGTTAACTTCAAGTTAGCTCAATTTTCTCTCTCTTACTGGAAACTAGATGGTAATAGTTGTAAAAAAAATTTTACCAAATAATTAAGCCATTGTTATGCCAGTGTTCACTTCTGAACTATACTGAAAATCCTCCAAATTACCATGTAAATTGTTATATTTTGACGTCATCACTATGTATTTTTGTGTCAACAGCCTATATTATTAGAATGAAACTTCAATTAAATTATCAGACACAACTATCAGATTCAGAGATGGAAGATGTTTTAGTGGAGGTGAGACCAACTTTTGTTGAAGTTTAAATCTTTCTACGTTTATTTATCATTTAACTTGAATTTAAATGACTTTTGCAACGTTGAAATGTGTTTTGTTTTTCAGTTCTTCAAAGCACATGGTTTATCACAGTTTTCCCTGAAAGTTCGCATCAAACCGTGAAGAAATCCAAGGATGAAATCGAGGATCAGTCCCGTTTATTTAATGAATATTTGCTTCTTTGTTCTCTTAAATTTAATATATTATCAGCCACATGTATTAGAAAAAAATTATCATTGCTTAATTAATATTCTATCATTCATGACTCTTTCGTCTAAATAGTGGTAAAGATGGTTTTTGTTTATTTGTCTGTTTTTTTTACAAGACTCAGTTGAATTTATTAGGATTGCTGTAGTTATGCACATATTGTGTTGGTTTCTGTTGAGTTTAACAATGGTCATAATCTTTGTTTGAATAAAATTGTTATAGCTAAAAAAAAAAATAGCACTAAAACTTGTAATCATAAGAAGAATTGAAACTAAATTCACTTTTTATGAAATTCAGCTTAGTTATTTTATTAAATGTTTAAATATTTTTAAGTAAGGTAATTTTATTTATTCATTTCTGATATTTCCTGCATGTACATTCTGGTTGGATCAGTACTTCTGCTGCACCCTACTTTGATTCTTCCTCTCACTATAGTTCACCAGATTTGCTAATATTCTTGCTCTTTGTTGGACTTCATAATTGACAGACTCTACCTTTCCATTGTATTTAGTTTTACAATTAAATTTTATTTTTGCATTTTACTTTTTTGCCTACATGCCATCTGGTGATCCTTCAATCGCAAGAAACAATGAAAGATAAGACGTCATAGGTAGGAAGCACCTATGGCAGTGTGTGAGTAATTAAAAATAAAGAAATTCACAGAAAATACAAAAGCAGAGCCACAAGGCTCATGAGTTACTACATTATTTTTCTCAGATTATTATTTTTCTTTTCTTTTTACTCTGTCAGATTAGAATTTAATCAGCATTAATTGTTTTCAAATACAAATAATGTTTGTGTTCAGCTCTACACTAACTATTTGAGGCCTTTTGTTTTTTACATGTAACATTATGTAAGGAGGGTTTTCTTCACACCTTGAATCAGCTTAATAAGCAGAAACGAGATGAACAGGACACAGATTTTACTAATAAATAAAATATTGCCTGCTGTTCTTTGTGTCATGTAAAACTGTAAGATTAGTATCATATCAAACCATACTGAATTTCTTTCAGACATACTTTCATGTTTCAGTCTTAAAAAGACCCATTTGCTTATTATAAATTAAAGTGACACTTTTATTAAGATGTGAGGATAAAAACATCTCACTCTCCTATCTCAGAAATATGTTTATTGATCAACCATGTCTAATCCTGTGATTATTTCACTAAATAGAAAGTATTTGATTACCCCTGTGTTTTTTTTTCTCCTTCCCTCCTTGTTCATGTGTTTGTTCAAGTGTGCACTGATCCTTTATCTGCTCACAAGAGCATAACAAAACATCTGTCTCAATTCAAAACATGCAGCTGACCACAGTTAGATGCTCTTTCAGCTTACTTCTGAATTTTGAGACAGCTCAGTTATATGCTTTTGTCGCCCCCTGCTGGGTTCCTTTTGGTAGGTGAGTTGTGTTTGGGTTGTTTTTCATTTCTCTTGTTTTAACTATACATTTGCTAATATTTGAGAGGAATATTTAAAATCAGACAGAATAAAAGTATTCACTCTTATAACTTGGTGACTTTGGAAGTTTTTTAAGTCATTTATAATCTGAAGGTAGGCTAAGTGCACATATCAGAGAAGACATATGCAGCATCCCGATCCACACTCCATTCCAGTAGATGGCGGTAGTGCGCATCTAAACGTTGCTTGCTAACCGCCATAAAAATATATTTTTTTTATGTTTGTCACTTGAGCAACAGCATCAAAGATGGTATATGACTGTGCTTTCAATGTTTCATTGTTATAGTTATTTACAGGTTTTTCAAATATAGAAAAGTCAGCTAAAATATTCTAAATACTTTATTAGCTTCCATCATTCCATGATTTTTTTTATTTTTTTTTTTACAGTAGGTAATATTTTTGTCCCAAAATCAACATTATGCAAGCTGGACTATGACAAGGCTGTCACTTGTCAGTGTTTAAATAGTAAACACAGGATGACTTGGGTAAGTAAATAAAAAGGTATTTGAAAATATTGAAACCTCCCGCTGTGCTCCTCAATGCTACTGATGACACAACGGAGTGCCTTAGATCCAACCAGGATGTAGTTTAAGTCCGGGGTTTAGTTTGGTGTCAGCACATCCTCATTCTTGTTCAAGAACAAGGAAAACATAAAAAAAAAAAATCGTTTGTGTTTTGTATTAACTTCCTGACTGTAAATGTCAAAACTACACCCATCTGCATCAACTCATCAAAAAGACTTTTCAGTGAATGTGTGTATTCTGCAGCTCACATCGCCCAGCACAATCAGGACTTGGAGGTAAGTCCTGCATTTTCGACACTAATATAAAATAAAATTGGCACACTTTAGAAAATATTTTTTAAACTTGTAATATTTTCAGAAATACAAATCATGGATAAAAGACTGCTTTTCGTCTTCATCACAGGTTTGTACCTTTTTGTCTCATTGTTAAATCAGTTTAAATTGTAGAATAGAATATTGTTTGAACCCTTTCTGTAGCTTTTTAGTGTAGTTTTAAAGGATGGTAAATCTACTTGGGTCAGCCTCCTAAAATAATTTGATTATTGACTATAAAGCAGAAACTTAGAGTGCCCCTTTCAGGTTTTACTATCAAGTATTTTAATTAAAAGTCGTTATTGCTTATACAATAACACATTTTTTGCTTTTGATCTTTTGGTTGATAATTTTTAATAATCTTAACATTTTAACAATTGGCTTTTTTGAAATGTTTCTGGAATACCTTTTTTGCCATGTCAAATTTCTTGATTTTTGTCCGTTTTGCTTTTCCAAACATTCTGTTCGTCAACCTGATTATTTTCTGTTTCAGGAGCTCAGTTAAGCGTTGCCTTTGCCCAAACTCTCCAGTATTACTTTGTAAACGTGTCTCTGGATTGGACCAGCGCTCAAAGTGTATGCAGACGTGATTACACGGACCTGGCCACTATAGAAACCACAGCTGACGTTGATGCTGTTCTCAGCACCGCATCAAACTACACAGGTTGGCTCCTAATTCTGCACGTACTTTAAAAAAAACAAGTTTTTCCAAAGCTGTAAGGCTTGAAGGAAATAAAACATTTTAGGGCTTATATTTCTGTGCTGCTTTTATAAGTAGCGAACCTGTTTTGTTTGCTTGTTTGTTTTAACAGGCAAGGCTTGGATAGGTCTCTATGACGAGCTGTACAACAGCTGGAAATGGTCTCTAGATGACAGCAGTTTCTATGGCGATGGAGAGTATACATTCAGAAACTGGTATCCTGGCTCACCCAATGACCTCTATGGACCACAGCTCTGCGTCAGACTTATTTCAGTGAGTGACCCTTTGCACAGATGGGACGACCGTCAGTGCTCGGACGTGCGGATGTTTGTTTGCTATAATGGTAGGTTGAGTAAATGCTTCCTTCGTCTGTCCAATTTTCATGCTAGCTCCTCAAACGTCAGACTTTTGAGCATGCAGGAAAAAAATGACTGATTTTCATCATGCATTTCAGGTACAGTAGACGGCACACCGTCTTTTGTTTTGAGTAACGTCTCACTGAACTGGACTGAAGCCCAGATGTTCTGCAGGAAGAATTACGTCGATCTAGCCAGGTAGGGTTACCATTAATCACTGGGTTACGTAACGCCCTGCTGAAGCTTGTGTACCTGTTGACAGATTTTGTTATCATAAAATCTACTTCCCTGAATGCAGGTATTTGCTGAAGAGTGATTGAAAGTTTTACTATTGTGTAGAATTAAGGAATAACATTTAAATACATTGGTGCTTCTTGTTTTAGCTTTTGCAGTAACAACTTTAAGCCATATTGGCAAAAACAAAATTGTTCAGTAAGCTTTGTTTTAGTCATTAAGCTTGTTTGTCTATTTATCCACAAGGAAACTCCCAGGTTCATTGTCTTGCATTCCAGGGATGGCTGAATGTTTTTTTTTGTTTTGTTTTTTGATGACTCATTTTAATGTGTTTTATTTTTAATGCCAGTAACCTTTCCTGTTTCCTCCGCAGCATAAGGAATCAGACTGAAAATGACCTAATCAGCGCCCTAATAAGTAGCACGGACGTGTGGATCGGTCTGTATCGGGACAAACTGTGGTCTGACGGCAGCCTGTCTCCGTTTCAGCACTGGGCAGACGGTCAGCCCGGTTCTGACTCTGGTGTTCAGTGTGCCGCTACTGAGTTTGGCTCAGGAAGATGGTACGACGAAAGCTGCAGCCAGAGTTTGCCATTCATCTGTTACAAAAAAAGTAACGTATCTGAGTTCTACAGAGAGATTTAGCATAAATATGTTTAAAAACTGGTGCATTACAACTTGTTGAAAATATCATAAATCCTTGATGGTTTATACTTGAGTAATTCTGATCAGTTCTGCAAAGAGTAATTTGTTGCATGTTGTCACGTCTCGGTTTTATTAGAACCAGACTGAAAACGGGACTTTTTAAGCCTGTTTCTCCTGTCCACATTTAGCTCAAACAAAAATGTTGAAAGTCAGGCTTGATAAGGAAGTTTGTTCAACTGTTACATCTTTTCAACTACAGTTGAACCTCAAAAGGTGTTTTTTTGAATTTTTTCACAACTACTCAAAGTTTCCATCCATTGCTAAGGTAAGCACTGGTTTCCATGGTCACAACAACATGTTTTGCATTAAGGTGGTATCTTTGAAGTGAAGCTAAGTGTTTTAATAAAAGCTTATAATTTTTTTTTGTTACTTAGAGATGTTTCACCTAAACTGCAGACTTGACTCGTCACTCCAGACAATTTCAGCGTCTTAATGAACTTCAGATGAATTTCTGTCACCAGGCTGGGATGAGTCTGGGAATGAGTGTTGGACGAAAGTTGTGATTAAATGATCACTTTTGTATCAATTGAAATCAATACCTTCAAGTCTAAGCCTCAATTAAAATTTGTTTAAATATAATTCAGACTAAGGATGTTTTTATATTTTCAAAGCCATTTTGTTCAGGTGGCAGTTAATCTGATGATTTGGACCATTTTAGGTGTATAATAAAAAACACAACTGTTATTTGTAATCTTTGTTCTGCTTTGAATCAATAGATGTCTCCTGGAACTCCATTAATGCCAAAATTGCCTGTTGTGGGAGATTGTGTTGCTGTTTTAATCTGTCAAACATACCACCTATGATATTATGTTTTGTTGTATTCAGTAATTTGTTGGCTCTTTATTTCAGTTATTCCCAATGCAGAAGGTTTGAGAGCATCAGATCAAGATGAGAGCAGCATCACTCTGCAGTGGAATAAAATCAACAACAGCACCAGCTTTGTTCTCCAGTTTAATGGATCAGAGACAAACATCAGTTCACCAGATGGAGATGGACCAGTGAACTACACAGTTTCATCTCTCACTGCTGGTACCAGATACACATTCACTCTCTTCTCTGTGTTTGAGAGCATTAGAAGCAGTGGAGTACAACATACAGCTGTAACAGGTAAGATACAAAAACATTAACTTATTCAAAACCAAGGTAAACGATTTTTCATTGACATGAGGTTTTTGAGAAAGTCACTTCACCACCAAACTCCAATGAACTGAAGACATAATTTAGCTCCTATTCTTTTCTTTCAGCCCCCCAAAATGCAGAAAGCTTCCCATCACTGAGACAGGATGAGACCAGCAACACTCTGCAGTGGGATGTTGTCAATAACAATGTCAGCTTCATCCTCCAATATAATGAAACAGAGCTGAATATAGCACCCCCTGCTGGACAACAACCATTACTTCTGACAGTTTCATCTCTCACTGCTGGAACCAGATACACATTCACTCTCTTCTCTGTGTTTGCGAGCATCAGAAGCAGTGGAGTCGGCATTGCTGCAGTGACTGGTGAGAGATTTATTTTCATCAAAGTCAAACAAAACTTTACTTAGAAGTTGATTTTGGAGGAATGTAACTTAATATCTGATTATATCACCTTTGAGAGACTGTTGAATAACTTCAGCTGTAAGAAGAGCAACATTATTTCTGGAGACACAATCAGTGACTCTATGTTGAATCATTTCTAAATCTCATTTTTTCCTCTCAGCTCCTGAAAATGCAGAGGGCTTCAGAGCATCAGGACAAAATGAGAGCAGCATCACTCTGCAGTGGAATAAAGGAGACAACAGAACCAGCTTTGTTCTCCAGTTTAACGGCACAGAGACAAACATCAGTTCACCAGATGGAGATGGACCAGTGAACTACACAGTGTCATCTCTCACTGCTGGAGCCAGATATACATTCATACTCTACCATGTGTTTATGGATGTTAGAAGAAGGGCTGTAAACATCACGGTTGCTACTGGTAAGATAACTGTGAGCTTAACATTAAACAATGTTTGTTCTACATCTCCTTTATATTACTTCAAGCATTTTATGTAAAAATAACCCTTTAGCTCACCAAGACTTTTTATGGAAGTCGCATGAGGTAAACATTTATGTTTTTGTCTCAGCTCCTACAAATGTCGAAGGCCTGAGACCATCAGATCAAGATGAGAGCAGCATCACTCTGCAGTGGAATAAAATCAACAACAGCACCAGCTTTGTTCTCCAGTTTAATAGATCAGAGACATTCATCAGTTCACCAGATGGATTTGGACCAGTAACTCACACAGTATCATCTCTCACTGCTGGAACCAGATACACATTCACTCTCTTCTCTGTGTTTGAGGGCGTCAGAAGCAGTGGAGTACAACTTGATGCTGTCACTGGTAAGGATTTTAACATGACCTCTATGTAAAAATGAATCAAACATACCTGTACTGTTACACAAATGCCAAGCGTTGCACACGTCCTCAATGCCATTTTAATATGAGCAGGTGATATTTAGTTAAAAAGTTTGGAATGATATTTATT